TCAGCTGCTGGGGAAAGCAAACAGGTTCACCAAAAACCATAAAAAATGAATGATAACCAGTGTTACCATTGACTAAGCACTTGTCACATGCCAGGCACTGGGCTAAGCATTTCCTGCATATAATTCCACAGAAGTCTTGCAAATCCTTCTAAAGCAGGTAATATCCCCATTGTACAGATGAGGAACCTGAGGCCTGTTAGTTAAGGTTACATGTATACATATATATATATATGATTTGGTTTTAGAGCCCAGCTATGTAGAACTCCAAGGTCAAGCAGTTGTTGTCTAGGAGTATGCGTCTGTGAGCGTGAGTGTGTGTGTGTGCACACATTTTGGGGAGGACCATAGGTGTATGGGTAGCCATGACTGTGGGTGTTGGAGAGGGGGCCAACTGGATGTTCTGGGCAAAGGTGGGGAGGCTGGGAAAGTTGAGGAGGCAATCTGGCTGGAGATTTCTGGAAGAGGAAGCTGCATGGAAAGGGTCTGAGGAGCAAATGGTTCAGAGACTGGTTGGGACTGCTGGGTCAGTGGGACACAACTGGCTGAAGAGGCCCTGTGGGTTGCGTGAAAGGTCAGAGCCAAGTCTAAGCAGAAATCCCTGGGGCTTCTAACTCCCCAGTAACCCAGGTTCCCTCTGATGCCTTGGGAAAGGGCTGTCTCAGACCTGGGCCTGAGGGGCAGTCGGGGTGGAGGCTCTGGGGAGAGACTGAACTACCCACACAGCAGACTGGGGCAGGCTGGTTCCAGTCCAAGAGAGCTCCCTTCCCTGGAAGCCAGTCAAGAATTATGATAATAATAACCACTCCATCTTCACTCTTCACCCAGTGAGGAAAATTATTTTAGTTTATTAAAATATGAAACATACATAGCACTTATATGCCAGGCATAATTCTGAAGACATCCTAAACATTAACTCTTTTAATCCTCACAACTACCCATTTTTACAGATAAGGAAACTGAGGCCTATGGAATTTAAATGACTTGTCTAAGGTCATGAAGTAAAAAAGTGGGGGAGATGGGACCCCAGACTCCAGTATATATGGGGCTTCACCACTGTGCTTTGCTAGCTGGGGGCAGAACACTTACTTTGCTGTAAAAACTCCCATTTTGCAGATGTGAAAACTGAGAACTGGTCAGGTGAAAGGACCGGCTCAAGGAGGACAGATTACTTGAGGAAATCAGGGCTCCTGATCCCAGCCAAGGCTTCTGTCGTGGTCCCACTGCAAGCCCGAGTGGTAGCTGGAGAGAAGCTGAGAGCCTTTCCAGCTCCTGGCACCCACTGCCTCACTGGGGTCCCATGAGGGCCCAGTGGGGGAGAAAACAGTAAAATTACAATTCTGATGACATTTTCGTAAAGACAAAAGCCAGTTACTCCCATAGGGAGCTTCTCCCTTCCTTTTATGATTATTTTTTTTTCTGATTACTAAAGAACATATGATCATTGTAAAAAATTTTACAGCTAGATCAGAAAGGCAAACAAGAAAGAGAGAGAGAGAAGGAAAGAAAGAAAGAAAAGAAAGAAAGGAAGGAAGGAAGAAAAGAAAGGAAGAAAGAGAAAAAGAAAGAAAAGAAAAAACACATTAAAACTCCTTTGTACTGGTGTATTTTCAAGATTTCTTCGTTCCCTCTCAGTTTTCATAAGTATCCAAGCTAGGACTGGGCTTCTGGTCCTGGCTTGCTGTGTGACCTTGGGCAGGTCCCTGCCCTTTTCTGGTCCTCAGGCTTCTCTCCTGTGAAATGAGTGTTTGGATATGGTGACCTCAGAAGAGGCCCCTCGCAGCTCTGACCGTCTGTTTCTGCTTCTGTTTCTGTGACTGGCAGAAGGGGCACAAGCAGGCTGCCCCTCTACAGGGGATGCATGGCTGACAGCTCCCAGCAAGTAACCTCCGGGAGGACAGAATGGACCCAGTAAACAGCCCCAGTAAACAGCCTTCATCATGGCACAGCGTTCCCAGGCCTGCCTGCTTATCAGTCCCATATGGTGCCCCCTGCCAGCCGGACACCATCAGCTGCCCTTCACCAGCCAGCCCTGGGTGACTGCTTTTCCTTCAGTCTCCAGAATGCTCACTCTCTCTGCCCAGGACCTGGATGGCTAGGGATAAGGAAGCTGGGTGGCTCAGCCCTGTGGACCTACCTACCCATCACCGCAGCCCTTTTCAGAAGACAGCCTGCTGTGGTGAAAAACTGGAGAGAGGCAGGGAGGGAGGGGAAGGAAGCAGGGAGCAAAGAAAGGAACGCTGATTGTATTCCAACTCCATTTGGATCCCTTGCTAGGCATCTGGGATTCAGAAATGAATCAGAAAAACTTATTGCCCTTGAAAGACACAAAGTCCAGAGGAGGTGAGAAGAGTAGAAACTGGCAAGTACAATACTTGCAATACTGAAAGCTCAGGCCTGTGGCATCCCATGAGGAGAAGCCTAACTGATGGATGATAGTTCAGAAAGCTTCCTGGAGGGGGCAACTTCATAGGTGGGTTCTCAAGGACAGGACTCATGTTATTTATTCCTTACAGACAGCCCTGTGGAACACGTATTGTTGCTCCTTTTACAGATGAGGCTCAGAAAGGTGAGTTCACAACCACTCAAAGAAGGAAAGTTGAGTTCAGACCCCTGCATTCTACTCTGGCCTAAGGGACTAGGTTTGAGTTCAGTCCTGGCCTCTGACTTGTAGAGACCTGTACTGAGTACTTCTCTCCCGGTCCTTGCACTCTTATCTGTAAAGTGGGTCTGCCACGGGCTGTAGTGTCGTTGGAGCAAAGGACAGAATGGCCAAAAAACTACTTAATTTATAAAGTGAGAGAGGAATGTCAGGCTCCCTATTCTGCTGGGGACAGCACAGCCTCATCTTTCCCCCAACACAGGAACAGAACTCCTGCCTCTGAGCCAGAAGCAATTCCAGAGGTTGAAATTCACCTTGCTGAGGCGAAACCTCCCTCTACCCCCACTCTCAAGAAGAAGACCTAGATATAAGTACTTTCCTTCTGACTCCTTTGGTAAAGCCTGATGAAAAGGCACAGGATCCTAGAGAGAATTCTAAATATTGGACTTGGAACATCTGTGCTTGAGGAATTCTAGAATCCAGACTCCCTTCAAAGTGCCCCCTAGCAAACAGGGCAGGGTTTTGGGTCAAGGTCTTGAAGCACTTGGCCCTGGCAGGTTGGAAGGATCACTAAGGACAGGACATCATCTCATTTTACAGAACCAGAAAGGAGAAAGATTTGCCTGAAAGCACACAGCAAGTCAGTGTCAGAGCTAAGGCTTCTACCCCATACCTCAGAGCATAACACCTAGGCTATACCACCTCTGAGGCTACTTGGGGAGTAGGGTGGACAGGGGGCAGTCCAGTGTGCCCAGGTGGTGCTAAGGACGAGGCTGGGTCTGTTGGGTGAGTAAAGTGCCCAGTGGGTCTTGCTAAGGCAAACTTTATACTCCTGCCCCATTCCCAGCAAAGTTCTACCACCACCATCTCTCCTTCCATGCCTTCCACTGCCGTGGGCACCACCCTCCTCTTGAACAAGCCCCTTATTTCCAGTCCTCAGTCTCCTCGTCTGTCAAATGGTCTCCAAGTAACTTTCAGGTGTCTAGAAATCCTAATCCCCTGCCTCAGGCGGCGGAGGCGGCGGCTCTCGGACCCTCAGGCTCCTACCTGGTGGAGAATAGGGGGATTAGGGAGAGGGAGGAAAAGAGGGGGCGCCTAGGGCTTTGGGCTTCCTGCCTTAAGGGCGCTCTTTTGTCTGGAGAGCCTTGAGGAGCTAAGGCAGAGTCCGAGTGGGGCGGGGCGGGGCAGGGCAGAGGGGGCGGGGACGGGGCGGGGCCTG